ATATACGTACTCTATAAGAGTTGTTTTTGAAATGATTTATATTTATAGTGCTTTATTTATCAGCATTCAAAATTATTAATTGAAGAGTTGGTTGTCTGTTTAAAAAACATAAAAACAAATAAAGTGGTTCATTCAGAAGTGTACGTGGTTGTTTAACCCTGTGAGATAACATTTTGGTATAGATGTAGCAGAAGTGTTCAAATACAGAGTGCACTTACAGTTGTATGTAAATGTTTTGGCACCCTTGGTCAAATTACATATTGTGTTGATTTTTAAGTGAAAAGAAGTAAACACAGTCTCTGCAGCAAACTAATAAAAAATGTTTTCTGCAAATGTTAAGGAACAGTTATTTTATATTCGACTAATCTAAAATGGAAAACAATCAAGCAGTAAATTTGCAAAAGTTTGAACACCCTAGTAAGTCACTTTGTAGTAACACAACCAGCTTAGGAGTCTTTCAATTCTTGTTTTTGGAATTTTCATTCACCCCCAGAATGCTTCTAGTTCTGCAATATTTTAGGCCCGTCTTACATGCGCAGCAAGTCTAAAATCTACCCACAGATTTTCAGTGATGGTTAAGGACTGCGAGTGCCGTTCCAAAAGCTTCGGCCTGCGTTTCCTGAAGTAGTTAATGGATTTTGTGGTATGTTTTGGATCATTGTCCTGTTGTAGAAGCCAGACACTTTTCAGCTAGAATTTGCTGATATTTAGTGGAATCTATGCTTCCATTCTTTTGCTTTGCCTTTCTGGCCAGCGTACGAACAGTTCCAGTCAACCAGATTTTGCCATGACTTCCACAGTTCTCCACAACTGCCATTTCTTAATGATATTTCGGACAGTAAAAAAGCAAGCTGAAAGTGTTTTAATATCTGTACAACTGGAAGCAGATCCAAACTTTTTTAATTTAATCAAATATAAAGCAAATGTATATGAACATTTTCGAAAAAGTCACTTTTTAATTTTTTTTGCTGCAGAACTTGTGTTTACTTTTTTTTTTTTCAATTCAAAAACATGTACAAATCATGTAATGTGTCTAGGTGCCCATATTTCTACATATAACAGTACCTGGCTTATGTACATTGTAAAATTCCAACACAGATCGACTGTAAACAAATTAATAAATTGACTGACTGAATTGCCTTGTTTGGCGCAAAAATTGTCTGATTTCAATCGTGGACGACTCAGATTGTGTGCCCCTAGTTTACTTTTTTACATATATAAAAAGCTGATGATGGTAAAATTTTTCAGCTGTGTGTTGGCTTGCTTAACTGGCACTTACGTGGTCCTGTTGTTAAGAGGCTACTGCTGCAAATATGCAATTTATAGACCTTTTGTTAACTTTTTTGGGGATAATGTAATAATGCACCAGCAAACAGCTAGCCAAGAAAGAATTGAGGCGTCAATTGTCCAGTTACCTTTGGGACAGTGTTTTAAAGGGCCCATATGATTCACTAAATACGCATGTAAATATCCTTGGATAAAAAGAAATTTTGCCCTTTAACCTGCTCTTACCTTTGTTCCAGGTCATCATACGTGATGATCAATAGGCTGTTTAGGTGCCCCTCCGGCACGGGCACTGCGTTAGCTATTGAGGTTGAAAGTAGTACTTTTTTTTCTTCCCTTGGCTCAGTTGGTCTCTTCCTACCTGCACTTTAATCATCAGCTACATACACACGCACAGCGCACTGATGCTAAAACGCAGAAAACAAGTCAGTTAGCAGTCCAGTTACCGTGCTCCAAAGATGAAGCAGTCTGTAGCTGATTATTAAAAAAAAACAAAAACAAAGTGAGGAGAGTGAGGAGGAGGCTGGTGGAGATGGAGAGCCAAAGAGAGGTCCTGACACCACTGATGATGAGGGTGCTGGTGTCGTGCCGAATTCCAACTGGCCGGCAGAGTCCGACTGCCTTTCGCATGCACCTATGTCACACAGGCACATGGACGCAACAAATTACAAACATTTTTCAGATGTTTCTGTATGTAAATAACGGTGTAAATAATCTTTAATATTACTTCACAGCAAACAGCGCAACAGGACCTAAAGTCAAACACAGAATCTCACAGTGATAGTTTAATTGAATATAACAAACTAAAGATGTTGGTTGTTGGCGCAAAGTTATAGTTATAAGGTTTACAAGAACACTTCAAAAAGTTTTAATTCTCAAACCTGGAGCAACATACTAGAACCAAGTTCATCTGCGATGTTGCAGTATTACTTACATATCAGCATTATTAGACAGTGTGACTTTCATTTCTCTTTTAATGAGATTTTGGAGAAGTCATTTTAAACAAATTTAACAATTTAAACATTATTAAACATTAAACAATTTTTTTATTATCTCTAATTAGCTAAGTAATTTCTAGCTAGGACAAATCTAGTGCTCAGTGAACTAGGTTATAAACACACATACACTGCACTGCATAAACAGACACTGGCTATTGTGACGAAAAATGGCAGATTTTTAAGGTTAGTTTTGGTTGAAATGTCAGCAGATTTTACATAAGCAGCACTTTAAACCTGCCCGCTTATCTCTGGGGCACAAGGTCTGATTCAAATCAAACTTACACTAGTAACTCATCTTGGTGTGTAGGTCGTGTCTTCTGAAACATGTGTCTCCAAGTTCAACAATGAGGATTTTGTCAGGGGGAGTAGAATTTTGGCAAGGCTATTTTGACAACTTAGAGTACATGTAAACACATACATGCTGTTATGCTTCGCTTTTTTTTGATAATATTGTTATGTTTTCTTTCAAAATTATATGAAAGAAGATGACCTAACAACAAAACAATGTTCGGACTAAAGTATTTCACAAATGTTTCAAGTCACTGTCAGTCTTTAAAAACACAAATACAAATCAATGCAAAACTAAGGTATGCAAATGAACACAACTATTCATCAACATATAAGGACTGCTACCTTTACAAAAAAAAAAAAATGGTGCGACCAAATCACGTGCTGGTGCGACCAACTGAGAAAGTTGGTAGCCCTGGTGCGACCAGTCGAAAAGTTAATCCGGAGCCCTGATTCCTCTTCGTAAAAGTGGAATCATTATTAATTATCAGTAATCCCAGTGGTTGTGACTGACATGCGGATTTGTGCTGCTGATCTCAATTCAGTTGTCCAGTTATACTCATTTGAAGAAAATTTACCTTTAAATTGAATTAGTTTAAAAAAAATATTAATTTGGTATTTGGCAATTACATAATTATTTGGTCAGTAGATCTGCAATACACCCAGCAGATTTAATCATCCTTTATGTATATTTTATTTACAAAGGATTTAAAAAGGAATATCTATTATTTATAGTCTAATTAAAGGGATTTGTGTTAGTAGACAGCTTGATGTAGGCAATTTATAGCCATTTGCTGTGCAGGCTGACTACACAACCTGTTGCCACTGATGTGTTGTTGAACAATATGGATGTCCTGATGGGATGTAGCCTTTTATGACAGGACGTACACAAACACCACCTCACTATAATAGAAGGATAATTGCCTGTTCAGTATCTGTAATGGGGGTGGGCTTTCTTGTTGTGTGTCTGATTCAGATCAAAGCGCTGTCAGAGATTTATGCAGTAGATCATAAACCTCAAAGCCTGGCAGAGATGTTTCACATGCTTCCTCATTGTTTAAATGAATCAAGTATTAAACTGTAATAGCAGCGAGGGAAGCAAATAATCCGTCCATCGGTTCTGTCAGAAGGTTGTACATTTTGGACAGACTGTTGAATTGTTTTATTTTTTTATTTACTGTTCATTGGCTGACAAGTCTCACCCCATTCATGAGCGGTGGTTTCCCCTAGCAACAAAGAGGCAAATAGAATAGGAAGAGGTGAAATGAATTCATTCTCACAAGCCAATTGAAAGCGAGGTGGGGTGGAGCCCACACTGAAAAGATGTGTTGCCAGTGTGTCAGCGTTGACATGCATGCTTACTGTCAGGGTTTACATGGCAACCAGCTTAGAGTAGAGGAGGATTTTCAGGTTTGCTGATGTTGGTCACTGGCACAGTTCAGTACCATGTACCCTGATGGTGGCTGGGAGCCTCCATGCTCTTCCTTCTGAATCTTCAAACTTGGCAGAATGTTAGTAAGGACAGTGGAGCCAGTGGTCACAGAGATAGGAACCTTCCTGAGACCGAATAGCACTATCAGTATGTTTTATTCAGCTACTATTACAGTGTTCTCTGTATCATTTTTCTTGCTACAAATTAAGGGAGAAGCCCAGGTAGATGTTGCTGTTCTGTTAAGATCTAGAGCCTGGAGTTGATGCTGTTATAGCGTTTTTAGAAAGGCGCGAATCACTTCACCAGATACAAGATGGTATAGATGAAGTTACTGGTACTTACAGAGTACAGAGTACTGGTACTTTCTCTTAAAAGAATGTCTTAATCTGACTGTTTTTTATTATTTTATTTATTTTAATTGTTTTAGCCTTGCATCTTTTAGCATTGCATCAAATTGCATGTTATGCATTATTGGTAACATGAACCGAAAAGGAAATCTAATGTTAATTTGGTTCTATGTATTCTGAACAATTACTAAAATGCATACAATGCAGTTAACTAACATTTTATTAGCGAAATTGGTAAAAACTAAAAACTAGTGTTATATTGGGACACCAATGCCAGGGTTATTATAGTTTTTAAATCTTTGTTAGTTTTATGATTTTCATTAGTTTTTCTTTTTGGTTTTTGATCTCTGAACAGTTTTAACTTTATTTTTATTTAGTTTATGTTTTAGTGTTTAGTATGATGATGGACACTGTGATAGCGGTGTTGATATGGGCAGAAAAAAAGCTCTGGCTGGCTTCAGTTTTCCTTTAAGATGGCCAAACACTTAAGACATGTACTTCTAAACTCTCTTTCACTCACTGAAAAAATGAAAATGAAACATAATACAATATATATTTTTCAGTGTTGGGGGGAAAAAATACAGGCATTGTTTGCACATGCTCTCTTCACTCATTTAGCTCTGCTTACCTGTCTTTTCTTTTTTAATGCAGCAAGATGTTGAGAAGTTTACAGACATTGAAAAACTCTACCTCTACCTTAAGTTGCCTTCTGGTCCTAGCAATGGAAATGACAAAAGGTATGTTTGCATTTCAAAGAATTATCTTATTATCTTATCTTGGCCCATATTCATTCACCATTTTCTTTCTAGTTTACATTTTAAGCTTGTTTTGTTGTTCTCCTTATCCCATTTTACACATACCAGTGGCTTTACCATTGACTGCTAATGTTATGTTTGATATTCTTTCTCTATATCCACATGCAGTATTGTACAAAAAAATGTTAGATTTTTTAGAAATTAAATACCACCTATCATGAGCATGGTGTTAATATTTTGCGTTTACTGTTTCCCCATATTGTTCTTGTGCATTTTCCATAATTGTATAGTCTACATGAACTGTCATGCCACTTAAAAGCAGTATTTTCGCAAATTTCTGGCACTGCAATACCCAGCATCCTGTGTTTTGTCATTTGTTTCCCCATATCTATTCATCACTCCAACCCCTAATTCTCAACATGATGTCCAATAGAACTGAAAGTCAGAGGGGGTCTGCAAGTCCTGCATCATGGTACAAAAATTTTACAACTATATTTAAGGCAAAAACAAACTAAAAACATTTGTCTCATTATGACATATAAAAGAGACCTACGAACAGAGAAAATTGTGAACAGTTGAATACTGGAAAACCATCCTTTTTCATTTTTCCCTGCTAGTGACCAGAATTCCATGTCGTCCAGCCGGACCCAACAGATGTACGCTTTCAACTGGATCAGAAATCACCTAGAGGAGCATCCTGAGACCTCACTGCCAAAACAAGAGGTGTATGATGAGTACAAGTGAGTGTGGTTGCTTGTCAGATTAAACGGCTTGCAGTAATTGTGCATTGCCTAGTACCCTTACCACTTAGAAGTAGTGCTACGATAGCAGCATACAGTTGCTGCAAATTTTATTGACAGGTTTTATTTTCATGTTTTATTGTAGAGCATGTTTTTAAGTCAGAATAAAGATGAGTGTAAAATGAGTTGGAAGTGAGTAGTCATGCTTAAGCTCACAGGGCTTGTATTTAGGAATATGTGTCTTCATTTTTTTCATGTTGAGTTTGCCTATTTAGACCAAGGTATTTTAACATTTAACAAAGTTTGAGAGTTTTCATTTCATTTTGTTGTGATTTGGTACAGGAGCTACTGTGACAATCTTGGCTACCATCCTCTAAGTGCTGCTGATTTTGGAAAGATCATGAAAAACGTCTTTCCAAACATGAAGGCACGCCGCCTGGGAATGCGAGGAAAATCTAAATATCCTTTTGTATGAGAACAGCTTGCTTCACCTAGCTTTCAAATATTAGACATTATTATAGTATCTAATACATAGATATATTGACACTGTATTCTATATATTATCACGTTTCTGTGCTCTCATAAATTTGATCTTGTCACATCTCTACAATGATATTTGACCATAATCAGTTTACACATGATTTGAACCTTAACAGCTTCCCACATACTGTTATAGTGGACTGAGGAAAAAAGCCTTTGTGCATATGCCATCATTGCCCAACCTGGACCAGCATAAATCAGGAGATGGGGTAAGTCTCAGTCAAACAGCTGTAATACTTGAAACATGTTTTAGTTATTCCCATTATTTTATAATACCTACTGCATTTTAGGAAAAAGAATAATTTTTATTTATCTATGATATATGAGAAATAGACATTTAGACATTTAGCACAACCCAATAGCACAATTACTGCTTTATAAAAGCACACACTGAAAACATTTACATACACTAAATCCCACTGTCTTATGCGCAAGCCAAAGACATTTGTAGTGTTTTGCCTAGAATTAATTAGAATAACACACAATTGAGTCTGTATGTGCAAACCTCAGTTCCAGAAAAATTGAGACAGTATATGAAATCCAAATAAAGTACAGAAAGCAGCAATTTGTAAATCCAGATTGTATTTAAACTGAAACAGTATCAATACAAGATGTTTTATGGTTTACCTTATCAACTTTATTGTTTTTGTCAACAATACTGAAACTGTATCAATTGGTGCTTTTAGTTCCCAAACTGATTAATATTAAAGTGGTGTTAAAAGGAAAGGTGATGTAACAGAAGTGGTAAAAATGCTACCGTCACAACTTTTTTGGAACTTCTTGCAGACAAAAAATGTGTGTATGTGTATATATATATATATATATATATATATATATATATGTATATTTGTATGAGAGTGTATATTTGCAGGAAAAACAGTTCATAAGGTAAAACATCGAATATGTTTTTGTACTGATTTCATTTTAACACAGGTTAAACAACTGATAACTGCTTCTATTTTTTCAAGCATTTCACATACTGTCCCAACTTTTTTGAAACTGAGGTTTGTACTTAGACTATGGCAGCGCAATATTTGTTGTTTCAGCCCTGTAGTCTGGTACAGTCATAATCTGTCACTAGGTGTCTTCCTGGGTGATGCTCTATTATGCCTTCAATGCGGCTGTAGTTTCTGCGTAGTATTATATTATATTAGTATTAAAATATACATCAGTGTGTTTTGAGGGCTTTTGTCTTCAGTACATAAACAATCAGCTAACAAATGATGTAGCAGTGTCCAATTATTAATGGACTGCACAGTATATCTAAAAAAATGCATGTGTGTATGCATAATTGAGCTATGGTCATTTCATATGTAATATGTACTTTATCATTGAATTATAGCAACATTTGCATTTACACAGATACCTTTTAAAAAAAAAAATATTACTGTTTTTGTGTTCAGTGTGAGCTGTTGGAGCCAGCTGTTCAGTCTCCCAATGCTGAGGATGAGATGCGTTCTGCAGCCTGCGGCCTGGTGTGCGAATGGGCCCAGAAAGTCCTGAGCCGTCAGTTTGACAGTGTGGAGGAGTTAGCACGCTTTCTGCTCAACAGCCATTATATTGGCACCAAGTCCATGGCTGCCCTAACTGTTATGACTGGGACTTCAACAGGCAAGCCCTACAGCCTAATGAGCCACACACAGACACCACCTTAAAGAGTAATGACACCCCAGTAGTTTCAGATGAAGATGAAGAGAGGGACACTTTAGGACTGAAGGGGGTGGGTACTACAATGCATAAAAACAAGCCAAGAAAGGAATACCACTCTGTCAACCCTGTCAACGTGATTATAGTAATGTCATTGAAACTCAGGCATGCCTTTTCAAAGTGCCTTATGATTTCTTATAGTCTCAACATACACAGAAAGATGGAGGGAGAAACTTCCTAGAATAATGGAGAAAATAGAGAGAACAGGACATTCATATATACACTGTGCATCCAAAAGTATGTGGAAACCCCTGCTAGTTATTGAGTTCAGCTGTTTTAGCCACACCCACCCATTGCTAATAGGTGCATAAAATCAAGCACATAACTGTGTAATCTCCATAGACAAACATTGGTTCTGAAGAGCTCAGTGACTTTAAACAGGATGCCTTTGCTACAAGGTAGTTTGTGAAATTCAGCCCTGCTAGATCTGCCTCGGTCAACTGTAAGTGCTAATATTGTGAAATGGATGCTGGACACTGGTTCCCAGCTGCCTCTGGAAGCAACATTAGCACAAGAACTGTGTGTTGAGAGCTTAATGAAATGGCTTTCCATGGACGAGCAACAGCACAGAAGCCTAAGATCACTGTGCAGAATGCCAAGCGTTGGCTGGAATGGTGTAAAGCACACCACCTCTGGACTCTGGAGCAGTGGAAACTTGTTCTCTGTAGTAACGAATCACGCTTCACTGTCTGGCAGTCCAGTGGACCAATCTAGGTTTGGCAGATGCCAGGAAAACACTACCTACTGTAATGCATAATGCATAGAATTTGGTGGAGAAGGGATGATAGTTTGGGGTGCAGCTCCATATTAATGGCCATGATTTTAGAATTGTGTGTCCAGCAAGCTCATGGTGATGGTCAGGTGTCCACATACATTTGGCCATATAGTGTATATAGATGCAATTTTTCCTGTCTACAAGCTTGAGCTGCTGTAAGTAACAGTAAGCCCAGGGTGCGAAACTGAAAATACTCAATCAGCTTGGCCCACATCGAAAATCGCTGCCAGAAATTGGGATTATTGTAGCTGTGGTAATCAGATAAACAAACGTGAAAAAAACATATTCCTTTGCCTAATTTTTTTTCCTGGATCGGTCAAATAATTTTCATTGGCAATTTTCAGTGTTCTTGCAGTCTACTTTAGTATTTCAAAGTCATATTTGTTGAGCTCGGCACAAGGAGGCCATTGTCATTTAAAGGGCAGCGACATTGATAGGCTGATTTGCATCATGCAGAGTACTTTATTCCTGAGAATACATTACGTTATGCATGCATCTAGAGTTTAGCCAGAGGGGTATTGAGGAGGAAGAAATGACCTTCATAGTAATGACTGTTTGAAACTACAGTTTTAAAAAGGAAAGTTGAAATATCAAGAAGAACTAGTGTAATTTATTATTACAAAGCTTTGCATTGCCCTTTTTACATGAAAGAAGTGTTTTGGGTGTAATTCCTCTTTAAGCACATGTGTATGCAAGTTTTAATCCATTTTCATTTTCAAAGTAATTCATTCACCATTTTGTTTGTCTTACCAGGTGTAAAAACGCCCACTCCAGCCTCGGCATTTGTTCCAACTGGTGAGGCCAACTCCTTCCAGCCCCAAGTGAAGACTCTCCCTTCACCCTCTGTTGATGCAAAACAGCAGCTACAGCGAAAGATTCAAAAGAAACAGCAGGAGCAGAAACTCACTTCCCCACTGCCCAGTGATGCCCAAGCTAGGAGAGCTGAAGCAGGCACACCAGGCCCTGGGTCTGGTATCACCTCTGGAAGTCCTGCTTTGTTGTCCCCGCAGCCCACAATTGGCATTGTAGTGGCTGCAGTGCCGAGCCCCATCACGGTAATAATACTATTGACTAGCTTCTCACATTCATGACATGTCTCAAACAAAAATGTTTTTATTTTTGCTGTGTTGCTTTATAGACTTACAGTGTAGACCTCTAAGGAGATTACCTGTAATTCATACAGAACCAGTCATTCAACTTCAGTATTTTGGACAAAAGACAGCAAGCGGCTGTGGACGTAACGAATTTGAAAATAGCAAGATTTTGTTTAGTTGAAGTTTAAAGAGCAGCCTGTGTGAAATTCTGGCATTTAACAGGCATTAGTAAAACAATATGGCAGTAATGTTCATCCTGCGTTATGCTGTACTCTTACTATTAATGTAGTAGCATCACAAATTATGAGTACCATAGAATATAGAGTTGTCTTTTTGTGTGCATCCACCCGAATTAGTAATGTGAGCCACAGGCTGTAGAATTCTAAGTTAATAAGAAAAGTAGCTTAGCAGCACTAAATTTTTTTTCACGTCAATTTACATATTTTGAGAAGTGTACTGGTCAAGTAGGTGGTTACTTAACAAGTACTGGTTTATGTAAACACAACTTCACACACGTCAGACTTTAAGTAATGGATTGTACAACTGCAGATTTACTCATGCTCATCACTACTATGTGTACACCTTTCTATGTGTCAGTTTATTAAATGTTTTACATTGTGGCTGTTGCATGACTGGTATATTTATTTATTTATTTTTTTTACCTCCATAGGTCCAAAGGAATAGACAGCTGATGACATCCCCAAGTCCAGTGGCGACAGCAGAGGGAAAGGTTCTACCAGTGAATTTCCAAGTGGTTACTCAGCCTGTTAAGCAGTCCCCTAAAACTCCTCAGAATGTTCCTGCCAGTCCTGTGGGTGACAGGTTAGCCAGACACAGATACGCCCAGATCCTACCTAAACCCTCTGCCACTAGCGCCATCACTCTTCGATCACCCCCGACACTTCTCATCACTCATAACAGCCCTATCAAAACAGTAATGCCCACTCAGCATGTCAGTTCAGTGAATGTTGTCAAGATGACAGCTATATCACTGACACCTAACAGTAGCAGTGGCAGCAGCACTCCAACACCATTAAGACCTGCTTCAGCTGGTGTCAGTAGCACTCTTTCCCAGGAAGAGCCTAACCAAAACCAGCAATCTCAGAATGGCAGCTCAGCCACTCTTCAGTCGTCTGGAGTTGGAAGAGTTGGCCGCCTCGCCACTACCCCAATTCCCTCTGTTTCCTCCACTAGCGAAGTCAAGATAACATCTGAAACTGTGAATGACAGTAACTCATCTGCTGGTGCTGAAAAGCAGAGCACTGCACCAGGGACTAACACTGGGCAAAAGAACGAGAGGGCCACTAAATATAGGGCTTCCAGTGAACCTTCTCTTCTTGTCAAGGCATCCCCAGTGCCTGAAAGAGTTAGTAGGGCCAAAAGTGACTCTGCAACGCCTCCCAGTACAATCATAGGGGCAGCTGCCCCAAGCAGCAATAACAGCAGTGATCGTCAGGAGAGTACCCTGTATTTAACCGTAATGAATCAGGATACTGATATTGGATTGTCAGCCAATGGTGCAGTTTCCCCCTCTGGCCAGTCAACAAAAGATACTGGTCTTGGTCCAAAAAGTCCTAGAAAGCGTTCTGCTTCTGTTTTGGAGACACATGCAATCCCAGTTAAGCGGGTGTTCATATCTCAGCAGCCTTTGGATGCTAGCAACAATCCTAAACCTGGTCTTGTAATAGCTACAAAGAAGATACAGAGACCAGGAACCCCTGCAAGACCAGAAAGTGCTCCATGCAAAGTAACATTAAAACAGAGTAACTCCCTTCCAACTCAAATTTTGGCACTTTCAGACACTCCAATTGAAAACATCTCTCAGACTATGGTGACTTCTCAGAGCTCTTCACAAGTTGAGCACGAGGACAACTCTGCTGGAATAAGCCCAACTGAAATAGCCTCTTGTAATAGCACAGCATCTGATCAAGCTTTATTGCAACAAATCGCGAGCCACCAACAAGTCACCACTGCCATTTCTCAGGAGGCATCTGCTGTGAGTGAGCTAAAGAGCTCGTTACAAGACTACTCTCAACAGATACAGGCGGAACAAAAGCAGGTAACAGCTAGCCATCTGCCATTGATGGCTCAAACCCCTGAAGCATCTGCTCAGTTGACTCTCCAACAAGACATTGTTGACTTTGATGGAGCCCAAGCTAGCATGGACTATTTCCCCTTTAATGATGACGACATGACACAGGACAGTATAGTGGAAGAGTTGGTTCAAATGGAGGAGCAAATGAAGCTGAATAGCAGTCTGCAGCCGTATCTTAGTTCTCTTGATATACCTTTACAAGGCCAGTCAGTTGCTCAGAGCACTATCCTTTCCCCCCACCAGACTGGCACTCAGTTCTACCACTCTGCGCATAGTAGCACCACTCCAGTCCACACTCCTACACCCACACCAACTCCAACACCAACTCCAACTCCAACCCCTACCTCTGAAATGTTGCCGGGGGGACACAGTTTGACCAGAGAAAGTCCTTGCTCTAGAATGGCACCAATTACTCCAGTTGATGGCATTTTAGGTGGTCGACATACACCTATCAGCACTCCGTTATCCAACTGCAGTAGTAGTGTTCCACCAAGTCCAGTTGAGTGTCGAAATCCCTTTGCATTTACACCCATTAACTCCAACATACCAGGTTATCATGATGGCAGCGTAGTGTCTAGTAGCCCAGTAAAGCCCATGCAGAGGCCCATGGCCACTCATCCAGACAAGGCTAAAATGGACTGGATCAACAACAGATATAACAGCACTTCAAGCTCCCCATCAATTTCAAACAGTAATGCCATTGGAATCCTTCCAAGCTATCAGGATCTGGTTGAGGACCATTTTCGTAAACCCCATGCATTTGCCATACCAGGGCAGTCTTTTCAGTCTCAGTCCAGGCACCAGGATGGACATTTGGGCCGGTTGACAACTGTGTCACCTGTTCAACAAGGACAGCAACCTGTCGAGAATAAGCAAGAAAGCTTTGCTGTGCCTGCACCGTTAGACAACAAAGCAACATCCGGGAACGGAGGTGGAACCTTCAGGTGTCGTAGTGTGAGCCCTGCTGTACGGCAGCGCAATCTTAGTGGCACTACTGTGCAGACAAATGCAGCACCAAGATCTGTTGTTTCACCATTCAATTCCCCTTTGACCTCCGAAGTTCTTAGCATTCTTTCCAACAGCCAATCAGTGGTAACTGCCAACAGCATGGCCCAAAGGAGCCAATCAGTACCGCTGAGTATCATGATGCAGTCTGAGATGTTGCCGATCGGCCACCAGGGCCAGCAAAGCAACAGTGCCAAGATCACAAGTGTGCTCCTGAGCAAGATGGATGCAGATGGGGATGACACGGTGCGTGGGTTAGGTGTCAACAACATGCCCTCCAATTACACAGCTCGCATGAACCTGACACAGATCCTGGAAACTACACAGGCCTTTGCTGGAGGCACAAACCATCAGACACAACAGCTGCCTGTCTGCTCAAGCCCTTCACCTTTTGACTTCCAGAAGCCTGGTTACCTTATAAGCACTGGGAGTGAACAGATTACTTTCTCCACTGATGGCCAAGCACAGTCAGGCTCTGGGCTGCAGCAACAAGAGCAGCAGCTTCAACTGCAGGATCAACAGCTAGAACTACAGGATCAGCAACTGTTGGAGGATCAGCAGTTCCAGGAACAACAACTGCAGCTTCCAGAGCAACAGTTACAACTGCAGGACCAACAGCAGCTACAAGATGATCCAGACCTCAACCAACAGCAGCTGCTGCCTCAAACCTCACAACAGAATGAGGAGCAACAACAGCAGGAGCAACTGGACTTCAACAGCACTGTCAAGGATCTCTTGGGGGAGGATGGACTCAATCCCAGCTCACAACTCGTTGGGCAGGTGGCATCAGAACTCAGCGCGGTTGCGTCAGACTTCTCCAGTGAAATCCGCTTGACCTCTGATCTTTCTGGTAGCATCAACGACCTGAACACTTTAGACCCTAACCTTCTGTTTGACCCAGGTCAGCAACAGGACCAATATGAAGACACCACACTGGAAGAGCTGAAGAACGACCCGTTGTTTCAGCAGATATGCAGTGACACTGTGAACTCTGCTGGATTTGACTGGTTGGAGAACAAAGACCAGCCAACCGTGGAAATGTTGGGTTAGTTTTGTTTCCTATTCCTTTACTGTCATGTTTATTGCTGTTTGTTGCTATTTATGTTTTCTGTTCATTGTCTTTGTTTTTTGTGATTCTCTTTTATATATTTTTAAAATGTGATTAAAGTTTGTCACTGCAGCAACTGGACATATCAGTCAAGTCCAGAGAGAAGTGCCAGCCTGACCTGAAGTGATCTTTTACAGGCTTGTACTTTCTTTTCCTGTTATTACAGTCCATTCCAGTCTAAAGCTGATTTCAAGCGTTTGTCAGTAATCAGGCATTTCTTTTCCCTAAGAATTGGTTACGTTATAATTTATACCAATGTCAGTACATTTCTTTATTAGTGTAGTGGTCCTGTATATAACCCACTTGAATATATCCACAATTTGATACATTAGTCCATTGAGATCTTGAATATTCCACCACCATAAATCAGTCAGTGACGTGAAACTGAATGCAATATTTTAAAAACGGATCACTGAGTTTTGATAACTGTCTTGTTAAGGCAAAGAGCAGTTGTGCGATGTTTTATTTGCCTTTGCAAGTATGTTGGTGAGTCATATTGCTAAAGAGTTTACTTCATTTTCATCATCACTTCTTCATAACTAAATTGTCAGTCAAATTACCATCAAATTTTAGGTGCTAATAGGTGCTGAATAAAAGTAATTGGCATCTGCCAAATCACTTTTCGGTCATTGTTGTGTTTTGCCTAATAAATAGTGAGTTAGCATATTTAATAATAGGACATTTTACTCGTACTGTTAAATAAAAAGATGACGGAGAGGAGTCAGATTTTTTGATATACCTACACTGTTTAGTGAATATTACATGAGGGAGTTTGGTCTGCCTTATTTCCAAAGTCCAAGGCCTTATGTCATCTTAAGAAAGGCTTTAATGTATGGAATTTGAGGATTTTTACAAATCTTGCTGCACTTCAGACAAAGCTTGGCTGTAGGTCATTGTGAATTATTGTTTTGATTTTCAAACACATCCCTTCAATTAATGCTTGCAAACTGTTGTATCCACCATTTTACCATGCCATGTAGTTCTTTTCCATATTTTAACTCTTAATGGCTTAGAAGATGACAGTAGACAGTAGTGGAGTGGTATGGTAGAGGGGTAGATGTTGTGTCTAAGGCTATGGCTTGTGATCAAACGTCCAACCTGGATTTATCGTCAATGAGTTTCAGCCTTAAATCCGTACCAAAGAGAAGCTGTTGAAGAACAATAAGTGATTGAGATCTGTTATATCCATCTCCAAGTGACCATCAGCACTAAAGGGATCTGGTTAGACTCATTGGTGAATTGAACAGGGTTTTACGGTGCTCGAGTTCTTGGTGGGCAAATATTTGTGTATAGTATGTATATGGCAAACGTATCTGATGTACAGTTAATTATGGATGGGAAGCATGTTGTCCAACTTCATTACTTAATGGATTCATGAAAACTTGGCTATTTGTAGTCATTATATTAACACCTCATTTGTTAAAAAAAGACATGGTCATGATAAGAAATTCCATTTTATTAATACACTGTATGGTGATGATTTTTAGATAGATCTGAGCGCCCTTGAGGAAAAAAAAAGAAGAAATCATATTGAATCTATAGCCAGCACGATATGCTGTGTGTTATCTTTTTGGCTTTATGTGTTGTGCAAGTAATGCTGTCTGTTTGGTCTCTAGCTTGCTGATGTGCCATTTTCCTTAAAAGAGTATATTGGTCTCTGCTTTTGCAGATGTGATGTGTACATTGAGAGAGGAAAAAATAGCATGGTTTATATAAAAAAGATGAATAATGATATATAAAGTGTTGATTTTATTGTGACAGTCAAATGTATTGCGCAGAGAACCTTGGAGTGGCAGGCACTGGAAATTCAATGGTTCATGATTCAGCAAACTTTGGAAGTTCACTTTATTGCACTAAAAATTTCCTTTTTTGTAAAGCGTGGCTTTGTCAGAGATTTAAAGGATACGATGGAACAATTGAAGCTGGCAAAAAGCAGATTTTTTTCAAAGGTAAATTACAAAAGGGGAATTACATATGACATGTCTGAAAATTACAATGAATTATTGCCTTGTGTAGCAATGTGCACTAATCTCAATGAGATACACATTTTACTCATTCTCATCCATGAGAATAAGAAAGATAAAAGCAAACAAAATTTAAGAGAACATTATTAAAAGTGAATAAAAAGAGAACATGCTTCACTATGTTATTCAATGATTGTATGTGCGCATGTATGTTGAACTATCTATTGTAGTATACTTTGTGACCACTCCCTCGGCCAAAATTGAGGGCTGGTTGTGTCGACCAGATAGAAGAGAAAAAATGTAGTTCTTCGGAATAAAAGCTATATGTGTGATGTTTGCTAAGTTAATATTGTTCTGTATGTTTTAGTTCATGAATATGTTCTCTTTTTTTCAGTACATGGATCTTTTGTTTTGCTTTTTTTTCTTTCATTTTTTACAAAAAAAAATGCCTTTGTGAAGAAAACTGTAAATAATTTTTTCTATGTTCTGGCATTTATCGAGGCACTGATTATTTACTTTTTTATTTTGAGAAGGAAAGATCTAATCCTTACTTTTTTGATACACAAAAGATTCATCAAACAGTAAGTCCAATGCTGTATTTCAGGCTGGTCTGGTAGAAAAATGTGTTTATTCTTTCTGTCTATTTGAAACAGTAGAACTGAACCCTTCTCTGTGCTGTTGTCGGTGTACTGCTCAATGTACAGTAGCTTGTTAATATTGCAGAAGCGTTTTAGCGATGTTTCTTTCTCTCTTTTTTTTCAATGGAAAGTACTCACAGGTGAGATTTTTTTAAGTGGTTTTAAAAGCCAATAAACATTTTTAAATAACAAGTGTATTTTTCTGTTTCGTTCTTTTCACTTTGACACTTTGATGGTTTATGGGGTAAACCTGTAAATTGGGATCACATTGCCCTCTGTTGGTCACTGAAAGACATGCATGTGGGAATGTCCTGACGTCAGTACAGGGTCAGATCAGCCATGACCATGCATCAGTGCTGAATAAGTTTAAACATCTTGTCCTGACAATTACTGAAGACCAAACATAGTTAGAAGGATGCTTTGAAGACCTTGCCCTTGTACCATCTCATTCCTGATTGTCTGACATTTCATAAAGACTGCTTTTTTTTTGCTTTGTTTTGTAATGTGTAAGCCTCTGATGCCGTACTAAGCTGCTGTGTTCCTGATTGGGGTTCAGTTTAGTTCGATTCAGTTCAATACAATACAATTCAATTTAAGTTTATCGTTACACAGACACACAAGTGTGTAAGTATAAGGAAATGCATCCAGGGTGTTCTCGGGTACGTGTAGCATCTCAGCCGCAGATAAATATACTGTATCACAGTCATTTGAAAAAAAAAAGTGCAGAATGTTAAATGCTACTCCATATAGTACAGTACCTTACAGTGCAAAGAAATCTTGCAATGCAAAATTGTGTAAAGATATTATTTAAAATACTCCACATTAGCATATAAAATAATTGTTTGAAAGTCAAATGACTTATAAATGCTACTTATTCATACTGCAAAGTGGAATAAAATATGGGACAGCATAGTGTAAAGTGCAGTTAATAACTGAAGAGCTTAATTCCACAAAGCTGTGTAACCATTTGTAACAAATTTAGATATAGCAGGTTTTTGGGATGAATAATGGCTGAAAAGCTGGTATTAATAGCTGGTATAAGGTGGTTTTAATCATAATATAGCTGTTGTGAGTAACTATGCTCACAACAGCATACATCATGAAAAAAAAGAAAATTTAAAATGTTCTATAATGTGTTTTGCAATGAAACCCTTCAAGTCTGGACTGGTAAGCTTGCCCATGAGAGAGCAGTTTTTGCTTTCCATACGTCACTCTGTTCTAACAAAGGCTGAAGGCCTCTCCTGCTGCTCAGCTGCCCCAGAGGTCATGGGGGGCAGGGATTCACACTGGCCTTGCCTCTGACCATTGGGGGAGATGCACTTGGATGTAGTCTTCTTTCCTGTGGCTGCAATGATATTCATAATATGTTAATGACTTTTGGCCTATTGATCTTGACCTCTTCCCGTTCACCAGCCTTTTGTCACCATAAACCCCCATCGTATGCTGGTCAGCAGGAAGGACGGCAGGGTTAGCGCATATGCTTGTGTCCTTAGAACAGAGGCTGATTATACTTGATGATACTTGATGATAGTTGCACTATTATGCATGACTATGATGGTCATCATCAGAAGAAGTGTGTTCTATTCATTTATAGATTTTGCAGTATGTGTATTTAATGTGTTAAATCACTGAACAAAGTAATGTATCATACAGTTAAACAAAAGGGTTCATTGAACATTTTCATGAACATTTTATCATAAAAACATTAATCATCTCAGTACAAAGGTTACAAATATAGAAGCAGTGATAAAATGCTATTCAAATTTAAAACCAGGGACGCTGTGGGTGTTCTTGATGGCCTGTAGTAAATCGTCTGTGTTCTCAGCAAGGACTACATCTTGACTGTGATTGTGCTGAGTATGGTGATCAGGCCCCCAGCTGTGAGGGAGGAAAGTCAATCAATGATCTACTCTAATCAATAACTGATTTAACTGCATATGTGGCCGTTTGTTTGTTGGTTGTGCAAAAGTGCTTTTTAGAGAATATCAGCATTGCCATGTTCTGTTGTCATGGTCTGATATCAATTAGTTTTTTTATGTATATGAACATAAATGGAGTTTGTGTAAAATAACAAAATCTAAAATATGAGTTACTGTAATTAATAATCACTTGAAATTCTGCGACATATCATTGCTGTAGGAACAAAACCTCATATCTTCAAAATCTTAAAGTTACAGGAAGAAGGAAAAAACATTCAGAACATTAATAAAATGTTAATGTAAAAAGATTTTTTCTAAGCATTTCTTTTGGTCCATTCATCATGAAGTTTTTCACACAATGTCAAGAGCAGCTGATTTTCAAATTATGTGGAAAAATGAAAAATGGACAGAATTGGTTCTGACAGCAAGATCATATATTTTGTTTTTATCATGGCAAAATGTGTCAGCATCCTGAATAGTGGTCGTATCTTGTATGATACATACGTGGGTTAAGCTATACGGAGCTGATTTTGATTTTTATAAAGTATCTTTTAAGCTTCTGACAACTTTATAATTGAGTCTTATAATCAAAGCTAAGTCTAATTACAAAAAATACAAAGTTCTTAATACCAGAATAAGAGAGAGGACATCAACATCATCTTTTACATTAGGAAGCAGGAGCACAATGAAGATCTGAGCAAATAACTAAGCAGACCATAGATGACCACAGTAGTGAATGACTAAAATTACCATCAGTAAGAAAAACAGTTCAAGATCGAAGAGAAATTCCATGGATTTTTCAGAATCTTATGATATAAATAGTCCTTCAGAATGACTTACTCTAGAGAGGCTTGTTTAAAGCCACAGTGTTAATATCCAGAAGTCTGAAGAATTTAAATCCTCTGCATAAAATGGTCACAAATATGCTGCCAAACAGCTCAAACTTTGGTCTAAATTTTTTATAACTCATGCAAGGCAGAGGGGCACATGCAGACCATGACCCCAAATAAAACTTACAGACAAATTATAACAAATAGATTTATCACTATTTTACCATCATCAACATTACAAATAAAAACACAGAAGGCAGAAGTAGATTTACTGACTGATTTTAAAATGGTTGTATTTGTCTTGTAGACACCCTGGTTCCTATCACCACCACTGTAAAGAAATCTGTACGTTCCTCTGTGGTGTAGCATTTCACATCAAACCACTTCGAATGACTTTGTT